TTAGTTATAATTGCACGTAATACACGCATCCCCTGAAGGCACGTAGGAAAAATATACTATGAGATGTCTCCTGAAGTAGAAGAAGAATGATTACAAGAAGTAAGTAGGAGTTTGGCCTACCATCTTTACAGTCCTTATACCTGTCGAATTTTTGTAAAGAATGTTTTATAAATCTAACGATATCTATCTTATGAAAGACGCAAGGTGAGCAAGATCTGATCGGAATTTCTGCAAAGTGCGTTAGTAAATAACTCGGGCTAACTAAAGTTAAAACTACAAAGCGCTTTCAATTCAAGTAATTATGACGCTATTTTGTCGATCCCTTAAAATATGTTAACATAAAATAAATTTTAAGTGACGTTATTCTCATTCAATGTAATTTATTCAAACATCCTAAATAAAATTGACTGCAATATTGCTTTTTAAAAATATGAGAAAGTGATATAGGTTGTATTTACCTTATTTTATTCATATTAGTTTTGCTATTTACTTAACCTTATTTTCATGAACCATGAACGCTCGGTGGTTGCGCGCTTAAGTCGAATGCCCCTAATCGCTTGTCATTTACTGCCTCAGTGTCGAACTTCTGTTTATTCTTGAATTTTATTTGAAGCAGTCCTCTAATTATAAAGTCTCTTTACCGATTTTTTCGCTTTGTCTTGTGACATGGATAGTGAAACGGCATGAAGACGGACATTATATCACACCCTTCATTTCCAAGCAAACCGAAATTATCTCCAACAGATAATACTCCTTCATACTCTTCACAAGATAACGTCTTGTCTGCGATAAAATTAGGATGCAATGGGTTATTGTCATCTAACATTGTCCATGACGACTATTGTCAGAATACTGATTCCGGACCTTTAATTATTTTTAAAACAATTCAAACTCTCCATGATCACCAACCTGACGGAGAAAATATCGCCATTAAGGATGCTAATTTTACTGATCATACATTTTTGTCTATTTTTTCTCCAGTAGCTGTCCCGATTTTCACACCGAACAATAGTACCATAGAGAATAAATATTTTATGGTAAATAAGTGTGAAAGCCTTATAAATGTTAATGAGGACACCTATGTAAACTCTTACATGATGATTGGAGTACCATCGCCGACTTACGGTCCACTTAATTTACTTAATCTTCCAAGTTCTAACGTTTCTACTGGACTTAATCATCAAATTCTATATCATCATGCTTCCTTACCTTCTCCTATGCTATCATCGAATCCGGTGTCCATTACGGGTGTTTATCAGGGGCCTCAGCATTCGTGGTATCTGCCCCAAATCAATCACTCATTGTTGGCAGCTCAGCACCCAATGATAAATTATCAGTTATCATCTTTTATCTCCTCTCACGTCAATCCTCATCAACCCGTATCAATTCGACACCAAGCCTTGACTCCATATCCTCCCATCCTTCCAACGCAGCCCTCCGGTGCTGCTAATGCTCAGTCACTGTTTTTGGCAGCTTCACCTGGTTCCTTTACCTCTGCTAATTTGGGGCTGAATGGTTTGTCTTCTGGTAGCCTCCCAGTTTCACAGGTTATTACTTCGAATTCTTCCTCAAGCAATTTGGATCAAGAAAGGGTGAATGTACCAGCAGCCTCTCCCCGATCTGGCGGAACATTATTGAATAGTTTTATTTCTTCCAATGTCTCAAATGCAGAGACGAACAATTCTGGTTCAGTTAATACAGATTACTATGTTATGGTTCATGTGGAAACCGGGGAAACCTTCTCAGTTCGTGTCGGAGACCAAATTCAGCATATACATGGTGCGCTAAAGTCTTTACACTTTTATGAATTATCATTTGATCCTGATATTTACTCTTCCTGTTATTTTCACTTAGCTTGATTATGAGTCTTATACCTTATTTCGGCAAGCCTTTTTCGTATTTTAATATACTTTTTGTTTTTCGATTCCAATTTTTCTTAAATATTTAGTGAATTTTATGGAAGGCGATTTTAGACGATTATTTAAAGTAGAGAATTAGTTTTTCAAGTTTGACTCCCCTATCTATTCATAATTTTTCATGCAACATTTTTCTGCTTTCTAATTTTTTTACATGTTATTATTTTCACGAGCTTTATGCTTGGCTTGGAATGCTTGCCAAATATTACTGATCTGTTAGTCCCTCTGTACACAGTCTCTCATTAGACATAACATCACGGGGCTTCCAAATCTTTTCATCTTGTTTGGCTATTCTTCCTGCTCTATTTTTCCATACTATTATTGGACACCCTTAAATATTTCACTCATTTTCCTTGACTCGTTCTCTATATTTTCAGTGCGTCGTTTTGTTTTTTATACAAACTCCCTAGTCTTCTGCCTCTTCGCATTTAATTTCAGACTTGTCCTGCGCAGGCTTGCCAAAGTTTAGTTCACATGGACACTACATTTCGTTACGAGGAAATCCCCGTGTTTTGCTATATCCTCACTTACTTACTAGATTAATGAGAATATTTTAGTGTAAACCTTCGGTTCTCGGAATTTTGCCTTACTTGGGGACAAATAAATCGTAATTTTATATGCATAAGTTAACCCTTATTATCCATATTAATTATAACTGGGACTCGTTTATCTATTTTGAACCAACAATGTGCATTCGGAGGCTTGATCAAACTTTCAAAAAGTGCTCTCATTCTCCTCTTATCTAGTTTTCTATTTGTTGCATACATTTTCAGCCCTTCTTATTATACCCTTTTGGGTCCCTGCGGGTTTTACGATTTTTACTAAGTTTCCACCAGTAATTACTTCAAATACTCTTTTGTCTGCCCTCAGCAATATTTGATTTTTGCCTTTTTTCCTTATTAAGGTTTTGACTTTCATATTCTTAGGTTCAGCATCCGCATAGCCAACTTTTAACTCAATATCACATCTCTTGTGACCCGTAGGCAAACTTTAAGAGTTCTGACATTATTACCTCTATGTTATCCTTCCTTTCTAGCAATAAAGGTTTTATGCCTTTACACAGGACCCCAGATATATTGGTCTATAATCTAATCTGTCCCAAGATATGGAGCTCTTACAAGTAAGCGGAGTCCATAGAAATAAAAATAACGATCAACTTCTTGAGTAGCAAAAAACGAGGGCAGAAG